TTTGCAATCAGGAAGAAAAGCTGGGAAGAGCACGTGACCCAGTGGATGGGATTGGTCCTGGAGTCCGTGGAGTATAATACAGCATGTCGTCACGGACTTGTAGCTGATAACTTGCAGACAAGTATGGAAAAAGATGAGGTTCTGAGCGTGGACCGGAAAGAAAAATGCGCTTCGTTTCCAGACTGCTGTCAGAGCGGAGAGCTGACTGGCCTCCCTGCCAAGCACCTTGGAAGCATTTCCAAAGAGGTGGATGAAAATGATAACCATGAAGATGAGGAGCATTTTTTGGAGGCCAGCACAGAAACTCTCGTCCAGGTTTCTGATGATGATGATGACTATTCTGCACTCCACCTGGATAGCGTTAATTACCACGTCACTACTGTTGGAAGGGAAACAAAAGGCGAAGAAGAGGGTTTAAAAGGAGCTGGCTCCTTAACAAATATGGTACCAATAATGGAGGCTGACAAGGAACCTGATGCATCTGGAATAATTGGAGTTCTTAATGAGGAACCTGGCTATGACCCTGTTCCTAAGGAAGAGATGGAAAAAGAAAATATTTGTGGCAGCATTGACCAAAGCCTGGAGCTTTGTAAATACGAAGGCTTAAATGAAGTAATAGATGTGCAGGAAGAAAATCTTTCAAATTCTCCAAATGTGAAGGATATTATTATGCCTGGGAAACAGCTGCTTCACACTGCTGTAATTGCACAACAACGTAGGAAATCCGATGCTTCTAAAGAAGGTCTTGGAAAGACCGAGTGTGATGTGGTACAGAGTGAGATATCTTCTGAATCACGTACCAACAGCGAGAGGCGACCATGCTCAACAGGAGAATCCAGCGACCGCCTCATGCAGCCTTCTCCTTGCACTCACATCCTGTCGGTGGAAAATGGTCTGCAGGAAAGTGGTTTCACAGAACCTCAAGTGGCCCTTGAGAACAAATGCCTCTCAAGTATCAGCCCAGCAGAAGATATTCAAGGTTTACATTTAGGAAATCATTTGACCACACAAGAATGCTCAGACAGTCAAGTGAAACTGCGCAAAAGAAAGGTAGGATGCATATAAATTGCTATGATTTTCTAATCCCCATTTCTCTATATTTCTTGCCAGATAATTTATTGGAGGTAAAATATATTTTTCAGCCTTGTTTCATTAACCATTATCAGAGGTTTATTTAAACGGCTCTGGGAAAAAAGGTAGAAGTACAACTGTGTTTCAGGAGTTTTTATAAGGTCTGAAAATGGCTGAGCTGGGAATTTGAAAAGTGACTCATATTCACTTTTAATACTGTTGTCTTTAGACACCAATATTTGTTTTGTGCATCATTCAAGGCCATATGAATAAGAATCTTCCATAGGTTTGGGGATTTGTTTGTTTGTTTGTTTTTCTGTTAATATCAGGTATCATTAGCCATCTTAGGAAGAGATCCTGCCCAGAGGTTCAGAAACCTTTTTCAAAGAAGGGGAAAGGAGAAGCATGCAACAAAATTTGGAAGGGAAAAAAAGGAATGGAAAAGAATGGATATTGCCATAGTTCGTCGGGTTTTTGCTCAGCCCTATGAGCAGGTGTTCTTACAAAATGAAGTATTGCTATGTTTAAAACAATGACTTATAATTTCAAAGCCCACAGAGAGTTTTACTGTCTGTACAAAGTAAGGAAGCGAATCATTCCAAGCTTTAATAGATAGATCCTGCAGCAACAAAAGGCCCTTTGGTTTTCACCGGAGGAGTTTGCTGGCTGAGGGATGAGAGGATTCATCTCCAAGTCTGGCTTTCCCAGCTGCACTGCTTGTTCATGCTCATATCCAGTTTCTAATTGTTGCCTCTCCTCTGCTCCTTTTTTCATTTGACATCATCCATCATCTTTTGTCTCTTTCTTATAAATCTGATCTCTGTTAATCATGGGTTTTTCATTTCATTTTTTTCTTCAGCTGTAGTGCTTCACAAGTTTTAAAGCACAAACTCAAATGTCCAAAGCACTGAATTCAAGCACCATATCCTCAATTGCTGGCCCTTGCTCCGTTGTATAAACCCTTTGGTAATATCAATACTTGGGAAGATCTTGATATTGTTGAAAGTTATGTATAACTTCTGCAAAAAGCTCTAGAAACCCTGGAAGATCATCTTCCTTCAGGAGTTCATAGGATCAGAGTTACAGTGGTAACTGTTCAGCTGATCCCACTGTAGGTATCACTGAGTTAAAGGGAGAAAATGGAATCATTTCTTGACTAGCAGTAACTTTTCAGGAAATGCTAAGCTTACGCATCTGTATATAACAATTGAAGATTTTAAGTCCTTTTTATAAAAAAGAACTAGTCATTTTCCAGAGCTAATTGACTATCATTATCATATTCTCCATGGCTGTGCTTTCAGTATTTTGTTTTCTTAGTTTACGTAGCATAGTTGCTAATACTGATAGATACAGTCATCATTGTTACCAAGGTTTATTTTAATATATTTTTAGAGTCCTATCATTACTATTTGAAAATATAGATAAAACTTATTTCTGTGAAAAGTATTAGATAAAACTTCTTTCTGTTTTGTACAAATACTGTCTGTGTGCTATAAAGGGAGAAAGGAGCCTGTAGAGCTAAAGGAGGAGCTAGTAACAGCTGGGTTGGAGAGCTCTACCAACACTGTGTAGTGTTTGGCTAAAGGAAAAGATGGGGTCTGTGTTGCTCCTGGTATTATTTTTCCCAAAGTTTGCAGGAGACTTCTGCAAACAATGTTCCTGCTTGCAAGATTTTATCACGTATATCTAATCATAAGCTATTTTACAAAAGTCTGTCTCTATTGGTAGTAATCTGTAATGAAAAATGTGCGTATGTTTATAAACTTTCCCTGAAAGCCACTTTTGTAACTTTAACAAAACATTAGAAAAACAACAGACTTGAAACTGAATCCATCCATAAAAGTCAAGTATTTGCTTTGCAGTGACAGGAAGACTTAAGGGATTGGGAATGGTATATAAAACCTTTTCTCTCAAGGTCAGCAGTTCAAAGAGTGCAGTTACGGCCTAAAATACACCACTGCCTGATTGATGCTCAGAATCTATTATAGTTTCACGTACAAAACAATGCTCGTAAAGGTCAGAATACTCAAAAAAGTACATGGAGATGAATTGCTCAAGGTATAGATGTATTCAAAGCCTGAGGTGGCACAGTAGTGGCATCATAGAAGGTGCTCAGCTTCCAGGCACTTCCATGACAGCTATTCCATGAATTAGATATGATTCTGTTCCTGCAGATACTGCATGCTTTGGAAAACCTGTTTCTCATTAACATTTTTTGAACTGGTTTTAATTGTGGCAACAGTGTGTGACCTCCTCTCTTATCGTCACAACTGCCCCTTTCAACCTGGAGCTGAGGTGAGACAGCAGGGATCTGTTCTGCTTGGTCTGTCAACCAACACAGGCTTTGGGGCTTACAGGCAACACCACCTCTCTTCCAGTAAACTGCTTTATTTGTGAGGAATGTACTGACACTGGAGATGCTTTTTGAAAACGGGTCCAGCCATTGCAGCCGCCTTGGCTTCCTCATCCAGTGGGGTGGGAAATGGCTGATACCTTCTTTTCCTGTTCTCCCAGAAGGACTTCCTCAGGTTAGAAGTAGGAAGTGCCTGACTTAATTATGATGTGTTAATGATGTTAAGTCAAAATGAAAGATCCCCCATAACCAGCCTTTCCTGTGTTTTTGTTGTTGTTGTTATTGATTGAAAATCAATTCTATTTATCCTCAGAATAAAATTGATGGCCGTTGATGGCACAAAAGAGCAAAACCATAAATGAATACTTAGGTGTGGTTACACCAACTAGTCCCTCATGAATGCTTTCCTGGGTTAAACAAATTTTAAAACAATGACTTCATTTGAGAATTACACATTCTGATTTTCTAGAACGTGGAATAATCTTTGGAACTAATGAGTAAGCTCTAATGCTTTTAGCTCAGTGGATCCCAGAAGAACTGAAAGACTCCTGTTTATGTTCACAAGTATAAGGCAGTGGAGGTTTTAGAAAACATCGTATCAAGCTATAGTATCAATCATTCATTTCCAAGGGTATACCAGCAAAACGAGAATATTTAATTATTATATGCAGATTAGAAAACAGAGAAAAATGACCATTACCTTGTAAAAGGCCTTGTAACATTTTGCTCGTGTCCCTTTTCACACTTGCTGTAAGCTGCTACGTGCTCATCTCTGAAAGCTTAGGAGTAGCCAGCAAAAGCCCCATGGGGCTGCTGAGCAGATGCACAAATATACAAGAACAGATTTATTAAACTTGTTTTGCAACATGAGAAGGCTGTTGATTCGACTTTATCTTAGGAAGATGCATTGTGGCAAATTGTTATACAAGACAGACTCGCCACTCGTCTCCTGAGCACAGTCACCAGAGAGCTGGGGTGTCACAACCGGTAACGCTCTCCCATGCACTGCCTGTCGCGTGTTTAGCACGGGCAAAAAGGAGACACAGGAAATTTTTACTGAGTTGCAAGGTTGTGGTGCAAATGGACTCCAAGGTAAACTGTGTCAGGGTGAGGGTTTGAGTATCCTCTCTGGTAGAGGAGTCTGAAAAAGCACCTCAGATCTCTGACTGGACCCATTTCTGCTGCTAATTCTAGTTGTTTTCCTCAGCTTTTGCTACATCTGTTGCTTGCATCTGGTATTTCTTTGCTGGGGAAGCCAATAAAGTGGATGTGTTCTTTTATGCCCCTTACCTGTAGAATAAACTCTGCAATGCATATTTACAAGAGAACAGAAATTCAGTTGGGCTTGTAAGATACTGAGGACATTTGTAGGTTTAAGAACGATTTAGTTTTATAATGAAAATTCATTGTTGTGTTAGGAGTTTATGAATGCAGTACTGTCTGAAAATCTGTCTTCTGTGATTGCTTTGAATACTACTGTAAGCAGACAATATCTGCAAAAAGTATACCTAAACTATACCTAAACGTCAAAAGAAAGAGAATTGAATACACCCATACAAGTGAACATTTGCATGTCAGAACTACCAGCTGCACGTTCAGTTGTTTCCTCAGCTTGGGCAATGTGTATATTTGCATACCTCTACGCATAGAGTTGAACATACTTTTCTCAAAATCTGTCACTCATTGCCATAATTCAATACTTTCCAACCAACTATATTTTATATTCAAGATAGTGATGAAATATGAAAACATAAATATACTTCTCTGAAAGTAGCTCTCTGACTTCCTAAACTGAAGTTTCTTTGCAGTACTTAAGGTTATTTTCATAAACCTCTGTAATAAATACATGCTAGAGCTGCCCAGTTAGCAGAGGAGGGCTATTGTCACAGTATTTTTGGACATTTCCATACCAAGAGCTTTGAAGTAAATCCTCTAAAAATAAGCATTCTTGGACTTCTAAATCAAGTTCAAAATAGTTCAGATAAACTTTGGATTGTTTTTGAACTTTTGGTTGTTTATCTAAATTAAGTATGAATTCTGAAACTTTGGGGAGTTCTCTTCTAATTTGAAGCTTCTGGTTTACTACAGAGATAATTAATAAATTATGTTAATAATCTTTGTAAGATTTAGAGGTGATAGAGTACTGGCAAAATTGCTGAACAGCGCAATGAAATAGGTCGATAAAATCATTGGTATCAGGAAATGTAATTGTTGTATTGTGTCTGGAGATTTGAAGGGTTTGTTATAGCAGCTGTATTCATTTCCAAAAAAAGATACAGCCTGGAAAAATACTTTAGGAACAGATTTGCTCTCTGTTTTCACTTCAGATAGAATTATCCAACTAATTTGGGTATATTTGATGAATTTCTCTCAGTTTCTCTTCACTGGTCATCTGAATTTGGATTTCACTTTCATTGAAATGTTTTGCTTATGTGGCACAGTTAAAGGGATGAAGTTAGCAAAGATGTGCTAGTGCATGAATTCCTCACTGCTCTTTTATGAGATTAGTGTTACTATTTTAATCCAGATTTCTAAAGTGAATGTTAGGTGCTTTGGAAATGATGCTTAAGCTAATGCCAACATAAAAGTAGCAGTTGGTGTCAATGAGATGCAAATTAGTTTTTTT